TGCTTTGAACGATTCCCCTTTGTCACCTCATCACCCCCGCGATCCCTTGCGCAAATTGGCAAGGCGGGACCGCTGGCGTCAAACTTGCGAGATTGCCGTGTTACCGTGTTCTTATACAGGCGCAGAGTCCTTGGAGCATGCAGGTTTGACTCTGGCTTCTGCCATGTCCCAAGCTGGTTTGAAGAGATTCTTGCATGCTCTTCCCCACGGAATCTCTAGCGCTTTAGCTTGCAGGGATTGTTGGGTTCTGGCTTGCAGAATTTCCTTCGCGGAAGCTTCTAGGGATTGTTGAACTTCACTTTGCGGATTTTCCGCTCGCAAGCTTGCAGGCGTTGTTGCATTGTGTTTGGCTTGGGCAATTTTTATCGGGGTGGCTGGCCAGGAGTGGTTGAGTTTTGGCTCGCTTGGCTTGCTGTGCGATCGCTTGCAGATCTTTGCGCAGCTTTCTGTGTGTGAGCCTTCCTGCGCTGCGGAAATGTTTGCTGTTAGCTTGCAGGGAGTTTGGGGATCTAGTTTGCACAAGTTCCTCAGCATTGCCGTGCAGAGGTTGCTTGGGAGCCTAGCTTGTGGAATTCCTGTACTGCCCAGCAGTTTGCAAAAGCTAATGCCAAGCAGTGTCCGCAAGCTAGACCAACATAGCTCTGCGAATAAGCCCTGCCAGCTCACGAGGATTTCTGCAGCTTGACCCCAACAATCCTTGTAGCAACGCGCTGAAAAGTCCGTAAGCTAGTGGAAACTTGCCAACAATGTCTGCAAGCTCACGCTGTGCTACTCGCAGGGTTGCTGGATAATTGTTTGTGAGGAATGCGGGGCTCTTCTTTGCGGAGTTTTTTGCGTAGTAGTTTCGGGCTGTCGCACAACGAATTTTGTGACGAGGAATTTTGTGACGAGTTCGGGTGGCGCACCCCTTTTGTGACCCGGTTTTGTGACGAGTTCGGCTGTCAGACCCAGATTTTGTGACGAGTTCGGCTGTCACACCCTGATTTTGTGACGGATGTCATTGTCATTCTTCACAAAATGTGCGGGGCAATTTCTGCGCTAAGTTTGGCCGGGGTAGGGCCAGGTGGTTTGTGACGAATGTCATTGACATTCTTCACAAAACTTTCAAATTTGGAACAACAGAGCGCGCAACAAGCGGGCCGGACTTCTCGGCAGACCAAATAAAGTGATTTCTGGTTTGTTTTGTGACGAATGTCATCCTTCACAAATCTGCCGCCCCCGTGGGCATTCAGGTTTGTGAAAGAAAGGCCTCTCAGAAAAAAAAGCCTCTCAAAAATTTGGCTCATGAAGCCAAATATTCCGTCACAAAACCCGGGTGTGACAGGCATCGCCAAATCCGGGGTGCGCCATCCGAACTCGTCACAAAATTTGTTGCGCGACAGCCCGCAAACTACTGCAAAAAAGAATCCACAAAGAAGAGCCCAACATTCCCCACACACACACACGCACACACACACGCACACACACAGACACACACACACACACACACTCTCACACACACTCTCACACACACTCTCACACACTCTCACACACACTCTCACACACACTCACTCACTCACTCACACACACACACACACACACACACACACACACACACACACACACACACACACACACACACACACACACACACACACACACACACACACACACACACACACACACACACACACACACACACACACACACACACACACACACACACACACACACACACACACACACACACACACACACACACACACACACACACACACACACACACACACACACACACACACACAACACACACACACACACACACACACAACACACACAACACACACACACACACAACACACACAACACACACACACACACACACACACACACACACACACACACACACACACACACACACACACACCACCACGCCACACGCCACACGCCACACGCCACCACACCACGCCACACGCCAAACGCCACACCACCACACGCCACACCACGCCACACGCCACACGCCACACACGCCACACGCCACACACGCCACACGCCACACGCCACACGCCACACGCCACACGCGCCACACGCCACACGCCACACGCCACACGCCACACGCCACACGCCACACGCCACACGCCACACGCCACACGCCACACGCCACACGCCACACGCCACACGCCACACGCCACACGCCACACGCCACACGCCACACGCCACGCCACACGCCACACGCCACACGCCGCACGCCACACGCCGCACGCCGCACGCCGCACGCCGCACGCCGCACGCCGCACGCCGCACGCCGCACGCCGCACGCCGCACGCCGCACGCCACGCCGCACGCCACACGCACACGCGCACGCGCACGCACACGCACACGCACACGCACACGCGCACGCGCACGCACACGCACACGCGCACACACGCACACGCGCGCACACACGCACACGCGCACACCCTCACACGCACACACGCACACACGCACACACGCACACACGCACCGCATAGGATCCAGCAACCCTGCGAGTAGCACAGCGTGAGCTTGCAGACATTGTTGAGTTCCGGGTGCAAGTTTGCAAGCATTTCCCACTAGCTTACGGACTTTTTAGCGCATTGCCTGATATTGTTGGGGTCTAGCTGCAGAAATCTTCGTGAGCTGGCAGGGCGTATTCGCAGAGCTATTTTGGTCTAGCTTGCGGACACTGCTTGGCATTAGCCTTTGTTCCACAAGCTAGACTCCCAAGCAACCTCTGCATGGCAATGCTCAGGAAATTGTTCAATCTAGATCCCCAAACTCCCTGCAAGCTAACATCAAACATTTCCGCAGCGCAGGCAGGCTCACACACAGGAAGCTGCGCAAAGATCTGCAAGCGATCGCACAAAAAGCCCAGCAAGCCAGGCAAGCCAAAACTCAACCACTCTGGCCAGCTAGCCCGATAAGAATTGCCCAAGCCAAACACCATGCAACAAACGCCTGCAAGCTTGCGAGCGGATAATCCGCCAAGTGAAATTCAACAATCCCTAGAAGCTTCCGCGAAGGAAATTCTGCAAGCCAGAACCCAACAATCCCTGCAAGCTAAAGCGCAAGAGATTCCGTGGGGAAGAGCATGCAAGAATCTCTTCAAACCAGCTTGGGAGAAGCCAGAGTCAAACTTGCATGCTCCAAGGACTCTGTGCAAGCTGGACCCCAACACTCCCTGCCAGAGATGCCAACAACCTTGCAAGTTCACAGATGATCGAAATTCCGCAAGCTACCGCCCAATGATCTCCGCAAGCTAATCTGTAGCAAATTTGGCAAATTAGGCCCCAAAAACACTGCAAGTACGTGCAAGGGAAATTCTGCAAACTAGAGCCCGCCAGCCCTATCAAGCTATCGCACAGGAAGCTCCACAAGTGAACCCTCCCAGGCAGCTCCTGAAGAACCATTTCCTCCATAAAATCGGCCAACAATCGCTGTGAGCGTTCACACTCCTGTATAAGAACACGGTAACATGGCAATCTCGCAAGTTTGACACCAGCAATCCCGCCTTGCCAACTTGCGCAAGGGATCGCGGGGGTGACAAGGTGACAACAGGAATCAGTCAAAGCACGCAAATCAACAACATATATAGATATATAAATACCTTTTTATCCACACAGAATCCTGCAGCACCGTTTGTTCAAAACAAATTGCATGTGGGACTGAAAAACGTGAATGCCACAGAAGAGGCAAACGCGAATCACGCGATGTAAGCGATGTTCCCTTCCGATTTGCTGAGGGGGCATGCTCAACGGTTGGTTGCTGTAGGCAAAACGTCGCCTTTGAAGGACTTAAGAATGACGGGGTCCGTACAGGCAAACGTAAGCCTAAAAATCACGCTGTAGCGCATTGGTGGGTCGCACAGCCGCATTGCGCTGGTAAACGTGGCCTAGGCACACCGAAAAACACAGCGAGAAAAACCACTTGACTTGAACAAAGCAGCCCGGAAGGATGCCTGGTCAAAACATTTTCGTCATCTCAATTCCGGAAGACTGGCACGACATAATAAATCAGTTGCGTCATTTCGGAGAGCTACAATCTTCAGACCTTGCTCGCCGTGGAACTCGCAACTGCGCAATGCCTTGGCACCAGCGCTGCGCGCGCAAACGCCACTCATTTGTGTAGCCACAGCAGCATCGCTGGGACGATATTTCTGTTAACAAAGCAAAACCCTAGATGCAAAGCAAAACCCCGGATAGCCGGAATCATAAATGAAGACGAATCCTGACGACGATCAGGAGGGTGGATGATAAGCATCACTACGCATCTCTAGCACCCCTAGCAGCGATGATGATGACCATCACTACGCATCCCCGGCATCTCCAGCAGCGATGATGATAAGCATGACTACGCATCGCTTGCGTGCCAAGCCGGGTCTCACGGGACAATTGAAATGTATATAAAACAAGTATAGAAATGACTCGAGAAAACGAGTCATGACGAGGATCCGGAGCATGGATGATAAGCATCACTACGCATCAGGAGCATCCCTAGCAGCGATGATCATAACCAGCCCCAGCATCTCCAGTAGCGATCACCCATTGCTTGCATGTCAAGCCGGGCCTAGCGGGACACTTGAAAAGCAACTCGGATGATATTCCCAACATCTCTAGCAGTGATGATACTGACTACGACAGCGTATCCCCAGCATCTCTGGCAGGGACAACGCCGATTCTTGCCATCGCCCTTCCCGCGCGGGGTCGGCGGATTTTGAGGGGTACTGTTCATGATCCTGCGCGAGCGCACCGTGAATGTTGCTAGCAATGGCAATCATATGACACAGTAACGCAAGCAATCGTTTGGAGCTGGGACTACGACAAAATCCAGGCCATCCTTGTTGTAGGACGCCTCGGGCTGGTTCCACGACATGGTGCTATTGACCAGGTCAGGCCTGCAAGACTTGGAAATGCTACGAATCGAGGATACGCAATCTGTCCTGTTTTTCTCCTGTTTTTCTTGAGCCTTTCCTGCCCACTTGCTGACTCGGAAAAATGCACCAGACAATGAGACGCTCATCTTGGAGGGCGTCACATGGCAAGTCTTGCGGCGTTTGCGCCTCCTGTCCGCCCCGGAGCTGCTGAAACAAGACTGCGCCACTTGGATCAGAGACGGCTTGCTACTTTGTCTGACTTTGTCCGACTTTGTTTCTGGGAGTTGACGGCTGAAAAACCATGCGCGCCGGGTCACGGCTCAATTCAGGGAGACAGAGAGAGGCGTCAATCCAAATGCATGAAGACAGCAAGTTGCTCCCTTTCAATGCTTGTTTGAATAAGTTTGGAGTTCCCAGTCCCCCCGATTTATTCTATTTTGCATGTGTCCAGCCTGAAGCTTTGGAAACCAGATTTGTGTTTTGGCTTCCCAATGTACGTGGTGTACTGGGCGCTGCCCAGCCCCCACAAGCTTCAACTTTCCCCTCACAGTTGGCAAACTGGCTCTGAGGGCTCCGAGTCGTAAACCCTGAAGATAAGAGCTCAAAGGAAATTCTTGCGTTTTCCCACTTACAAACCTGAGGGATCCAGACGATCCAAATTCAAATCGCATGGCCCATGGTTCAAGAAAGTCGGCTGTCAGTGACCCCAACCCGGCGCCTGCAGCAGATCCGCAAAGCGGCGAAGCGGTGGTCGCAGCCGGGCAGGAAGGCGAAGGGGTGGATTTTGGATAGCAAAATTGGCTTTGGCTTGATTTCGGTGGATTTCCCATGGTTGGAAGGGTGGCTCGAGTGTCCAAAAAGGAAATGAAAGGCCTGGGTGTTGATCCGTTCACAGCCTGCGAAAGCAACAAGCAATCATTGGTAAGGGTTGGCAATTATTGGCAATTAGCATATCAGCTTTGTGGAGTCCAGACTGGGAGCCCTTGTCGCTGTGAGAGAAAGCCCAAGAAACTACACAAGGTGTGCCTTGTGTCCTGTGTCGGTGCAGGTGAGGCAACCTTCCACCATCAAGCGCTTGCAGAAGAAGGGTTCCTCCCTTCTGGACGTGCGAAACTCTCCACGGTGGCTTCGGCTGGATTCCATCCACACCGAGCATGTCAAGGCTTCTGTGGTGGCAGATCAGTGGATCCTCTCCAATGAAGCAAACTTGCTGTGCGCTGGCCTGATTGGAGCGCAGGCCCTTCTGCTGGGGGTGGAGATCAGCCTGCAATTGCAACACCAGACGCTGGACGTGCCTTGGATGATTGCACTCCTTTGCTGTGATGCCTGTCTTCTCCTGGCATTTGCAGTTGAATATGTGCTGCGCGCCTGCGCGCTGGGAACTCGCTACATGTGCTCCAGCGGCATCTTCGATGTGCTTTTGCTGCTTACAGGGATTTTTGCTGCTGTCGTGTACGGCATGGACATCGCAGGGGGCAGGATTCCTGCAACACTGATGGATGTGGTACGCAGCTTGCGTTTTCTGCGTATCTTGCGCATTGTTCGAGTCTTCCAATTCTTCCCTGCCTTGAGCATGCTCATCAAGGGCTTTGCAAGTACCACGATCGCAATCCTGGATACCATGGCTCTCATTGCGATCTTCTCCTATGCTGGGGCCTTGCTTTGCTGCGAGGCTTTCTCCCAGACAGAGCAAAAGGCGCAGAGGGAGCTCTTCAGCTCGGTGATTTTTGGTTGGCTGACCCACATCCGCATCATTTTTGTGGAGGCCTGGCCTGACATCGCAGAAGCCATGATGGTCAGCTCGGGCCTCTGGGGGCTGTACACCATAGTGTTCCTCTTGACAAGCTTCGCCCTGCTGAGCGTCATCGTGGGCGTGGTCTGTGAGGGGATCCTGGACCTGGTGGGTCAGATGCCCCCCAAATCCGCTGCAGAGCAGGAGGCAAAGTTTCGGCAAATCCGTGAGGAGGTGTTGGAACTCCTTGGGGAAAGGAGCTGCAAGGATACCTTGAAGCGGTCTGAGTATGTGGGCCTCCTCCGGTCTTGGTCTTCCAGACATTTGCGCGACAAGCTGCGTCTTGCTCTGCCCGAGGATCTGGAACATCTGGAGAATCTGCTCGATACTGACCACAGCGGGAGCATTTCAGTGGAGGAGTTGCAGGAAGGCTTGCTGCGTTTGCGAGGGAGCCGGTCGGACTCTCTTTCTCTTGAAATCCAATGTGTCCTTCATCAGTACTTCTGGTTGGATGCGGAATCCGTGTGCCAGTCAGAGACCATGAAGATGGTCCTGCACAAGACAGCTTATCATGCTACTGAGAGAATATCCGGTAGCATGGACTTTGAAGTTGAGCAGCCCGAGCCCAGCGCAGAGTTCGAGGATCTCTTGGGCTCAATGGGAGAATGCAGCGACGCCTTTGAGGCTTTGAGGGTCCTGTGCCAGACAGCGACGCATTTTCCGCCCATGTCCTTGGAATTTGCTGACGCCAGCAGCCAGACGGCCAATGTGCCGAATGTGCCGAGTGTGCCTCGTTTGCTGCCTCTGCCTCCGGCCCCTCCGGCCCCTGCGCCCCCTGCGCCCCCTGCGCCCCCTGCGGCCCCTGCGGCCCCTCCGGCCCAGGCGCCAAGAAGGCGGTGGGGGCGCCATGAAGCGGCGCGCTGAATTGCGATATCCGCCAAAAAATGGTTCAGGGTTTGTAGCTGTTTTGCCATACTCCAAATGCTGCCAGGGCCGAATACGGTGCGCCCACTGTATCAAAAATCAACTCCAGATCTTCTCAACAAAAACAACTCCACACTATGCGAACACCGGCTTGTGAACGGAGCAATCAGCTTGGGGGAAGGCGTATGTTCAACGTGCTGACTCCCAGGATTGGTTTGGATACTTCCGGGCGAACTCCTTTGTCAACACAGGCGAGTGCCGTGAGCGAGCGTGAAAGTCTTGCACACCTTGCCCTGTCATTTGTCAGACTGTCAAGACAAGCCTCATGAGTTCAAAAACTAACCATTTGGGAGGTGCCCACATACCCTGGAATCCCGGTGAGCACGAGTCTCACAAGTTTTGCTGCGATTGCCACAATTTTAGATCCGACTTGCGAACCAATTGCGGCTGTGTTGCCCAGCGCCTATGTGCCCCTGTACCGACCATTTGAGCGAGACTGAATTTTACCCATCCCGGATGTCATGTTATTGCTCTGCTTAGAACGCAGTGCTGTCAAGAAGCATTCCAGCCAAAGAGCATGCAGTTTGACAGATGCAAAAGGACACTGGACCTCAAGCACGTCGTGTAGTTAATGCATTAATGATTCCCAATGCTCGAGCCACGGCTCAGTTTGCCCACTTCGGGCGTCAGTGCATAGGGTTTTGTCTCATGTGACAGATGGGTGGTTCCCATGCAGACGTTTGCAAGAAAGAAAGCTAGGCTGCCAACACTTGTCACAAGATGCCAAAAGAAAAGAAATGATTCAGCAGAGGCTGTGCCAACATCCCATCAATGACCGGAAATTGGGCTTGGAAATTGCAGGAGCGTGAAGTCAGTTGAGGCCAAGCCCGGGCGCGTTGAAGTGGCAGGTGCCGTTGTGACAGTCTTGCAGCAGCTGTGCCAAAGACGGGGCTGACGCTCGGCCAGCCAGGGTTGGCCAGGTATACGCTTGACAGCTCGACGCCGCCACTTTCTATTCCTCCAGACATGATGACTCATGGTTCATGCGCAGGTATTTCCCTCTGCAGTTCAATGAGTTCTCGTGATGTGAAGCCATGTTTGGGCTGTGCGCAAGGGCGATTCATCCCCTGAAAATTTCAGCTGCAAGCACGGAATTGGCATCCCCGAGGGTCCATGGAGATGCCCCTCATCCTGGGCAGGGGCATTGTTGCAGAGCAGCACGGCTCCTTGTCAATCAGTGACACCCCGCGCAGCTTCACTCACGCGAAGAACTCAAAACAAAGTTTCTTGGATTCAATTCGAAACACATTGCTTTCTAACAACCTGCGGTCTCATTTATGTTGAATCGCCCAATCCACTGCCTGTGCTGTAGTTGTATTTGTCTCTCAGCCGCACACCAAGAGGAGATTGGAATTGGAGAGGCCAAGCGGAGATGGGAATTGGAGAGGGTCGAAGAATATCCTCAGAGACTGCCAATCGCAACATAAACAAACATATGTTGCATACAAAGGTGATGACGTCCGGTGGCAGGATTTACACGCTGACGCGACACAGCCGGCCACCGGGCACCTTGCCCTTCCCGTTCTTCCATTTCCTTTCCCTTTAATTCCCGTTAGTTCCGTTTCAGCTCCCTTCATTTCCTTGAACGCCCGTTCCCGTGACTTCAACCTTGCTTCCCATTTCACGTCAGTTTCCTGCACATCCCTTCATTTCTCTTCAGTTCCGCGTCGTTTCCCATAATTTCCATCTCTTTTCGTTCCCGTCCTCCGGTTCCCTTCGCGTTCTGCCCTTGCATTTTCTTGCATTTTGGTTTCTCATCATTTTCATGCAAGTCCTTTCACTTCCATTTCACCCGCCCCTTGCTTCGCATCGCCAGCATGCGTAGCATCATCCGAATCGTCCGGGATGATGCTGGCAAGGCTAGGGGTGTTGTCCAGTATGACTCTGCGGGGGCATTTCCGTAAGCGAAAGGAAAGTGTCCGAACATGGCACCACAAACGGGCAAAGTCATAACATTGAGGAGGATCGCCAAGTGGGGAACACTGTTTTAAGCACCGCTTTTTTGTTTTCCACAAACCTCAGGAAAAACGAAAAGCAGCCAAGAAGGACCCATCTCGCCTCATCTCACTCGCCGTACATGTGTAGCACCGTGGTGAGCTGGTCTGGTTTTAGCCGCCAGTTCCTGCTTCACGACAAGGTCTGCTCCTGAAGCCTTGAAAACCTTATTGAGCCTGCCGAACGAGTTGTGGGTCAATGGAGAGCTCGGCGGTGGTGTCCGGGGAGAGGCGCTGCAGGTGTGGACGGTTCCGAGTGAACCGGGGTCGCTGTATTGCAGACAAGGGTCGGCTGCTTCTCCGGACCCGGAGTGAGCTCGACGCCTTTGTTCTTATGTCTTTCGATGGTTTGCTCAAGTGCTGCTACCTTCTCATGTTTTCATGCCTTGCCGGTTGCAGGGACTCCATAACATCCACAATCCGGGTGGCCAGTGGCTCCATGAACTGCGTGGCCTCCGTACGTTTGTTGGGCGTGCGGTCAATGTCAACCTCCCTGTCGCAAAGGGCTCTGAGTATGCAAGTGAGCAGAACTGCCTCAGCGTTCGTAGACAAGGATGTGAGTGAGCCTTACGGAGAAGCAGGAGCTTTAGGGCTGCTTGGCGTGCGTGACCAGAGGCTGGGCTGGATGTACCTGCGTAATTGCAGACTGCAAAGTGGTGAGAATGAGGGGCAAATAGGAACTGGACTGATGGATCAGGGCGGCGGGGCCCTGGTTGGGCTTCTCAGATCCGCCTGCTTCTGAGAATCAAGGTGGCTGTGAAGGAAAGGAGGAGGTTGTCCTGCTTTCATGCTGAAAGGGCTCCTTAAAAGATACATTTGGCCCAGTTGAAACATGGCTTTTTCCACCCAAAAAAAGGAAACCATCATTTACAAGGCAATGCTCAGGTGTATAATGTAAGGATCCCTGATGAGCAAGAACACTAAAACCCGAGAAAGCAACCTCGCAAACACAAAAAAGAGAAAAAGAAAGAGAAAGAAACCAAGCGCAGAAAACGAGGGGAACCTGGAACATGTCCTCGTGGCCGACACTCGACCGTAACGAAGGAGATCCGCCGACCCATGGCCCAGGAGGCTCACGGGGAAGGCTCACGGGGAGGGTCATAAAAAATGCTCTGATGATATTTGTCATCGTCATGGCGGTCATCATCGTGTCTCATGATCATCATCCCTTAAAGGATGTGACGACGATAGTTAAATGATTATGATCATGGTAACATGTTCATGATCGTCATGCAAAGGATGCTATGATGACAGTTATCATTGTGGTCATGATCATCATCTCTTGGTTTTCATATTCTTTCTCTTTTTGTTATATATACGTTTCAGACCTGACGTTAGACACCGATGGTAATGCTCAGAATGATGATGATAGTTGTCGTGAATCATCTCTTGGGTTTAGAATCTTTTTCTTTTTCTTGCATATACGTTTCAGAACTGGCGTTAGATCCCGGTGGTAGTGCTAAGGATGCTATGGCATCAAGAGGATGGTAATGCAAAGGACGCTATGATGACAGTTATCATCATCATGGCGGTCATCATGAGCTCTCGTGACCAGTACTTCTTGACTCATTGCCAAGGATGCGATGATGATAATTATCATGATCGCGAGGATGGACTGCTGGTAATGCTATGGATGCTTTGATAGCTATCATGATCATGAAGCTAATGCACAGGATGCTACGATGATAGTTATCATCATCATGCTGGTGTCGTGATCATCTTCTCGTGGTTTTCATTTTCATTTTCTTATTCTTATATTTACGTTTTAGAACTGACGTTAGACCCCGACGGTAATACTAAGGATGCTATGATGATAGCTATGGTGGTAATGCAAAGGACGCTATGATGATAGTTACCATCATCTGATGGTGCTGCAAAGTTATCATCATCACGATGGTTATGCAGAGGGTGCGAGGGTGATAGTTAGTATCATCCTGATGGTACTGCAAAGGATGCTATGATGACAATCATCCTCATCATCATCATCATGGTGGTCATCATCAGCTCTCGTGATCAGTGCTTCTCAACTGGTGGTAACGCAAAGAATGCGATGATGATAGTTATCATCAACCTGATGGGCTTACAACATTGTAGACGGCTTGCGAACACTGTTGCCGCGCAGCTCGTACAACACTTCGATATTTGCCCTGCATCATCAACATGTTCCAGATCATCTGCGTCTCACAATCATCATCATGACGGTCATCACGAGAGATTCGATGCGTTGCGCTTTTCCGAGAGCTAAGCCCTCATGTAGCACGTGTGGCTGTGATACCGCTCGCGCGCGCCTGTGCGAAGCGTTCGAAACCACGAAAAGGCGCGCGCGCGCGGACCCAGCTGCCGCCTGAAGCTACGCCGGTCTGCGGACCCAGCTGTCGTCAGAGGTTCCTGTTGTCTGTCATGCGTCCTGAGCGACACAGATCGAAAACACGAAGAGCGTGCGTAAAAAAATCGTGCAAAACAAATCGAATCGTCTCTAGCAATCCATTTTAAGCAGATTGCCCAGCCGTTTCGGGCAGCATCACAAAGCTCGTTGAGCGCTGCAGTGTGGCGCGCGTGCAGCTCAGCACGTTGCAGGGGGTCAGCGGCACAGGGCGGCAGCGCTTACCGGGCAGGCCAGCCCATGCTTTCCCCGCTGTGTCGAAACCTCGCTGCCAGGGGGGGAAACGTGTTTGGGCATAGCCGCGATGTCCGCATCCATGGCGGACATTGATGGGATAACGCCGGTGATGCGGGGGATCCATGGCGGACATTGACGCGGATAATGCGGGGGATGCTGGGGATGTTGTCCCCTACCCTGGAGATCAAGGGCGGGAAGCTAGTTTTACTGTGGTATTTGCCGCATATTTGAAAAATAGATACTATCTATTTTCAGCCGAAACGGAGCAAAAAAAAACACCATTTACCTCAGCGCCAGCAGAATAGATACTTAGATACGTCCCTGCTTTGCAAGAATGGATACGGAAAGATGCGGATAGATGCGGGCAGTTGTAAAATAGATACCAATAGATACGCGCGCAATACATCTTCATTAAAAATAGATACTTGTTTAGATATTTCAAGAAATTGGATACGCCCAGCTATATTTTTGGATATTAATAGATACGGGAAATAGATACGGCAGGCAACAAACATTCAAAGAAAGCTCAAAAACTTCCGCGTGGTCGATATTGTCCAAGGACAAAGCTGGCAAAGGAGTAACGCAAGCGGGAAAAACATGAGCGAACTGATTGACTAGTTTGCAGACTGGCTAGACGACCAACCAAACTGGCTCATGAGCCAAATGATAGGTAAAAGTCGACATAGCTCAGTGGCTTAACGTACGGTTTTCAATTTGGATTCACCAAGTAAGTTAGGTAGCCACCTCGCCTTGTTGCGTTGGCAATCAGCATTCACTTGCCTTGCGTAGGAACAAAGTATAGTTGCTCGCACTTTGCGCCCCTCCAACCAGGTCCCATCGAAAGTCGGTCTCGCACGAAGCTCCCGGGCGATTTTACACGTTGCGCTCCAGCATACCTAACCGAAGAAGCCGAAGCATAACTAGCAAATGCATTGAGTGTCCTTTAGACACAACTGACAACAAGCCCTTTACTTGCTTGTTTTTGGCCCTGTCGGAGTACACCCAAAAAGTGCGAGGCACTCCGGACACTCAATGCATTTGCTAGTCATGCTTCGGCTTCTTCGGTTAGGTATGCTGGAGCGCAACGTGAAAAGATCGCCCAGGAGCTTCGTGCGAGACCGACTTTTGATGGGGACCTGGTTGGAGGGGCGTGCCTAAGGGACACTCAAAGCGTTTGCAAGTTATGCTTCGGCTTCTTTGGTTAGGTGTGCTGGAGCGCGATGCGTGATTGCCGAAACAGAAGCGCACGCTTGGGAGCTGGGGGTTCTTCTTTCTTTGCAGAAATTTTGACGCTGTAAAAAACAAACAGATGTAGTTCAAAATGAGGGCGGGGATGTTGACTTGCTAGTGTGTTCGGGTTTGTCACTGCTTCTTGGGTTGAGCCTGTTCCGGGAAGCCTTATCAGAGTTTGTTGTGTCATCGCTGGCCAGACCAACTCTGTCACAGCTGCAAGGGCCACAGCTTGTCAAAGCTGACGCGATATCGAACGGCGCTGACGCCGCCTGCAAATACATCCTGCCAGCAGTCCGAATTGTCATGGTGCAGCGA